AAAATAACAATTATAAATAATTTTAAACCATATATAATATTTAATTTTATTGATGTGTAACTCGCGAGCAGAAGTCATTCAAACGATTGAGATTATGACGTTATAATATATTTATATATTATCATATAATTCAAAATAGTCAATATATTATATCAAATTAATATACGAATTATTATATCAAATTTAACAACAATGTTGGTGTTATATTTTAATATATATATATATATATATATATATATATATATATATATATATATATATATATATATATATATATATTTGTAAAGACTTCAACTATGTAGGTGTGTCTGCGCATTACAATGTCAACTCAAATATAAATTTCAGTTCCATTTAAAAAAAACTAAACAATATTTTGTAAATAGTTAAAAGTGATAAATTGTAGTAATAAAAGCAAAAACTAAATTGTAATTTCAATTTAACTAAAATATTTCTTAAATATATTTTTATAATCGTTAAAAGTTTCCAAATAATTTGCTTTAAATAACTTACAATAACAATAATTAAAAACAACTCTATATAAATGATTATATTGTTAGCTTTAAAATAAAAAAAAACAATGTTTGATGTTTTAAACAGTGTTTAATGTTTTAAACAATATTTGATGTTTTAAATAATTATAACATTAAGCAAATAAATTTTAAAAAATTAGTTAACAATAAAAACAACTATAAATAATATCAAATCATATATTATATTTAATTTTATTCATGTGTAACTCACGGATAAAAGTCATTCAAACGATTAAGATTATGAAGTTATAATAAATGTATATATTATCATATAATTCAAAATAATCAATATATTATATCAATTTAGTATATAGAAATTATTATATCAAATTTAACAACGTTATTGTTATATTAAAAAAATCATATATTTTTAAAGACTTCAACTATATAGGTGTTTCTGCGCAACACGCGGGTATTCGCCTAGTCTCATTAATAATTGTCTCACATAAGATGTCTTGAGAAAAATCTAAAAAAATCATTCATAAATACTGAATGAATATAAAAATAAAAATAACTTATCTTGCAACAATATATATATATATATATATATATATATATATATATATATATATATATATATATATATATATATATATATATATATATTAAAGACTAAATATGTACAAAAATATTAATGACTAAATTTATAGAAAGTGAAAAATATATTACCGTATTAAGTTATTTTTACCCGCTAACCTGAAATAGCCAGTCATAAAGACTAAATGTATACAGTTTAACAAGTTGAATGTATAATGTCAACGAAAAAAACTCAGTAAACAAATGTCTACAAATCGAAAAATATATTACTTATCCCAAATAAAAACTATGAAATGAAAACAATTTTTTTAATGGCTAAAAATCGAGTGCTTTTAATCAAAATCAAAAATTCACTGAAAGAGAAATAATATATAAGTAATTAATTCCTTTCCCACGCATAAAATGAACATTATCGCCGATGTTCACCAATAAGCATATACACAGTGAAAGAAAATCAAATAAAAAGGCTAAGATAACAATTTTACAGATAATAAAGATACAGGAACTTGAGACAATACATGATTCGACAGAAATCCCCAAAGCTTGATGAAAAAATTCCACAACTTGGTGAAAAAATCCCAAGCCTTAAAAAGCGATATTTTACAAAAATAACATTTTACCCTCGTCTTAAAAATGATTTTTTTTCACTGTCCAACACAAAACAGTAAATAAAATGACTTAAATGCAATAAAAATAACGTAAAAATATATAATTAAAATGATGAGAGGATCCCCTAAATCTTGATTGCGTCATTCAATGTGAAGGAATCCGACCACCTTTATTTAGATCTTCAAGCGAGAATTGAAAGTATCCCATTTTTTATTTTCTCCTTCATTGTTCTCCAATCTACTTCCATTTGTTCCTTTTAAGGATATCAGTAGTATTACATCAAATATGGTGTTAATACTATTCATTTCTTCCAAAAAAAGAGATGAACTTTACGTTGTCGGTTTTAGTCTTTCTATTTATATATTTATACATTTCTTGTTCATTTTTACCTAATTATAATTTAAATATAATATTTAATACTTATAATATTTTGTTATATATTAAATTATATTAATTAATTATAAATATAAATTTTATTTTTTGTTCATCAAATTCATATAAAATTTTAAATACATATTGAAATTTTAAAAGACGATAATATTTTACAAAAAATTATAATTAAAAGTGTGTATGTTTATTCATTTCTCCCAAAATGGATATGAACTTTGCGTTGTCGGTTTTAATCTTTCTGTATATATATTTATATATTTCTAGTTCAATTTTACCTACTAATTATAATTTAAATATAATATTTAATATTTATAATATTTTGTTATATATTAAATTATATTAATTAATTATAAATATAAAGTTTGTTTTTTGTTCATCAAATTCATATAAAATTTTAAATACATATTGAAATTTTAAAAAACAATAGCTTATTTTACAAAAACTTATAACTAAAAGTGAGTATGTCTAATATTTATATAACTGTATGTATAATATTTATTTAAAAGTGTGTATGTGTAATATTTTTTATAAATACATGTATAATATTTATTTATAAGTTTATTGTAAATATAATCTTTAATATTTAATATTAATGTAATGAAAAAAATATAAATTATGTTTTTGTTAAAACTAAATTAATAGATGAGTGTGTTTGATAATTTAAATAAGTTGAAATAATAGAATATATTGGGATAAAAAATAAAGTATGGTTGGAAATGAAATACTATTTACTCCATTTTTTATTTCATTTTTAAGGAAAAAATAAAAATTGATTGGAGATGGTCTTAAAGAGTAAAATTTTGTGTCTTTTTGAGACATTTGTCATGTTTCATTTTCATTTTAGCCTTATAAATTAAAAAATACGTATAAGATACTTTTGAATCTTTCCAACTCAACTTTTGCATGAACCAAAATTCCCTGGACTCATCCATGTGTGAGTTCACTGTTTTGGGGTCCAATTATGCTCTTTCTAAAGCTCGTGGCATGTTTTTCCACCCAAATTTTTATAAAGGGAGATGCTAAAATGGTAAAACAAAAAAATGTTTTAGGAAAATTATGACAAAATCATAAAAATTTTAAAAACCAGAGACCGAATATGTAAAAAAATAATATTGATGTAAATTTGTAAAAAAACAAATGTTGAACTAATTATCTAAAACTATCATACCATGTCATAGTGATATATTTTGTGGTAGATGGTTACTCAACAAACATTAAAATACAAAAAATAATGACAGTTACCGTTCTATAAAATATATATAGATAAAATAGTTAAATTGACTATAAAAGGGAAAATGACTTGGGAGTTTAATTATCTTTTTGTTTTTTTCACAACTATTCTTTATACACATCCTTTAATTTGTTATATGTGTTCATATATATTACTAAGATTCTAAATAGCGTGGGGTATGGTTTGGCGGTTTTAACGAGACATGATGAGCCATGATATTTTTCAAGGCGTGATGTAATGCATCGATTTTATATTAATTTATAATTATATTACTACGTAAATATAAATTTATATTAAATATAACTAATTTTTAGAAGTATTATATCAATAACTAATAACAAAAAACACAATACATGTATCCCCGGTTAAAAAAGACATAACAAAGAACAAAAAAAACGTGTTTCAAACAAACAAAAAAAAAACATGCTCCATAACACACCATAACGCGTCATGGCACGCCATATGATGTCTTGCCACGCATCACACCTAACAACAATGTTATGAGACTTTTTTTTAACGGCGAAGTCACGCCTCACACCATAACACGTCTTTTATAACACTATATTACAATTGTTATTTGCTATCTCAGGTGATAATGGTAACATGTGAATACTGTTAACATATTAAATAATCAAATGCGGAAAAAAAGTTGTCTAAATGTGAGCAATTTTTTTTACAAAATTTTTAAAACTTTTTATAAATTCTTACAACATTTTTATGATATTTTTTATAGATTTTTCTAATACAATGTTTTAAGCTTTGCTTATTATTTTTAAACTTTTCTTATACTTTTATATAATTTTCATACAAACGCTTTTAAACCAAATATTTTCTAAATGCTTTAATTTTTTCTTACAATTTTTTAATTTTTTTTTTTACATTTTCATATAATTTTTTTATAATTTTCATATAGTTATTTTTAAACTTTCTTTTACAACATTTTAAAACATTTCATATATTTTAACATTTTAAAATACTTGCATTTAATATTCTTTTAGAACGTTTTATTAAAAAAATTAAAAGTTTATAAAGTTCTAAATAAAAAATATAAAAAAGTTGTAATAATTTTGAAACATTTACATTATATAGATTTTTTTTTGTTTTTTATTTGCTACATAATATTTTATTTTAATTTTTTTTAAAAGACTCTCCATACTTATTATTACATATTTAATTTATTTACTTTTATTGTTAGACATTATTTACTTTAAAAATATTGCATATGCTTAAAAATAAAAAGAAAAAAAATGTACAAGAGGCTATATAAAATATTTCACAAAAAAACATAATTATCAATTAAAAAGTATAATTTAAAATTGATTAATATTAATTATAATATGTTTTTGCTAAAAATAAATTAATAGAAAATTGATTTGTCAATCAAAAAACTATAAATGGGATAAATAATCAATCAATATAGATACGCTAAAAATAATGTTTGGAAAAATAATACAAACAAATATGAAAAATAAAATTGTTATTAAAAGTGAAGAAAATGACTTATCATTGTAATTAACTTTTCGTTTTGTTTACATCTAGGCAATTTCTGTTTTTTTGTATACATATGATCATCTAACTTGTTAAATGTGTTCATATGTTACCATTGTTACATACAATAGCTGATGACAATGATAATATATGAACGGATTAAACAAGTTAAATGCTCATATGTGTACAAAAAAAACCCTTAAATTTGAACTTGACGAAAAAATAATTACCCTCCTAAATCATTTTCCCGCTATAAAATAAGTCATTTTCCCTTGGATCGAATAAATTTTCTTCTTGAAATTCAATACTACGTTTCCATCAAACTTTTCATTTACATGTAAATGTAAATAAAGTAAAAGTACATACATGTACACCTAAATCATATACAGATAATTTAAAACAGAGTTAGAATTTGATAGGGCAAATAAAAAAAATTTTAAAAAAATTTAAAAAGAAAAAAAAAAAAACCATGTGATTTCTATTCAGCCTTTACTTATTTGCCTCCTTTTTTTGCTTCCAACTCCTCTCATGTTAATGAATTAATATTTTCAAAATTCATAAATATGTGAAAACCCTTTGGTTAGAATGTAAGGGTAAAATGGTCATTGTATTCCGACACACTATTCAATCCATAGAAGAAAAAGATCGAATGTTCCAACACTTCATACAATGGTTTGCCACTTTCTCATGTATCGGAAGCTACCTTTGCTGACATGGACAAGTTGATGAGTTGGACACCTACGTGGCAAAAAAATTCAAATCAACCAATTTAAAATGAGTAATGAAACTGTTGAGGGAATTAGCAATTACAAACTACAAAGAGTAAATTACAAAAAAAGATAAAACTTTAATAGCTCCAAAACCATATTTCATCAAATATAACTGAACTCATTGTAATGATAATCAAATAAATCTGAAATAATACCTTCAAAAACCTTGGACACCATTGAATGACATACCAGAGTTGAAGACATGAAGATCCAACAAAGTATTATAATACCCTTTCTCTATTTCCTCTTCCTTCACTTCATGAAGCAACAATGTTTCAATAACAAAATCTTCCCAATCAATATCAACTTTCTTCACCTTTCGTTTTCTCTTTCTTGAATTCGTTTGAGTTTTTACAAATTCTTGACTTTGACCACTTTGACCACTCTCATCATCTAAACCATTTTCTTCAATTGGTGGACGCCTTATCTTCTCAATTCTTATCTTAGCTGCCTTTATCTTCCTTTTTCTTTTTTGTATTTTCAAACATCCATCAATGAAAGATTTAGGCATAGCATTTAAACCAACATCTTTTTCCAATATCTTATCAAGAAAAAGCTTCTTGCTTAATTCAGAATCCCCACTCCAATACTCTAACCCATCCATTAAAAAATCATATCTTTCACTTCTTTTTTCATTCCTATTCTCTAGTGTCGCCATTGATGACTTCATTTCAGAATATTCATTCAAGTATTTCAAGTAAATAGTGGATAAACATTCGGGTGAAATGTTAAGCTTCTCCAAATCTTCAACTTCCCAATCGATTGAACCCCGTGATTTATCATTATTATTATTATTATTATCATCAAACTCAAAATCTTGAACAAAATATTGTCCATCTTTATTCAAACAATCGTTGACTAAACCATCCAAATCTGCACCTACTTCCTCCAAATTCTTGGTTTTGTTTGTGGGATTCGACATTGATTTCATCTCCATGTATTGAATAACTATAGGGGCGTTCTTCATGATGTTCTTGACATTCACATCATTCCCCCATGGAAGACGAATTCTTGCAACCTCCACTAACTTCTTCAACAGTTCATTGTACCTTAATTTGCAGGTTGCAACCACTACATTCAATTGAGAAGCTAAATCTTCAAAATCAACATCGACAACATCATTAAGTTGACAAACGAAAACAATCACAGCCACCACCACAGGCACCGGTCTCCTCCCTGTTGTCACATACCACTTAATCATACACTGAATCAAGAAAATCCCTTGTTTCACCATTCTTCCAATTTTATCCTTCCCGATGTTACCCTTCCCCCCAAGAAGCTCTTTCATCACTCGATCGAACAACCCCACTATATCAAAGTCCGGCAATTTCAAATCAAGGTGATCGATAACGCGATATACCATTCGACCTAACTCATAGTTATCGCAACCAACGGTTTCGCATACGCTCGTTAAAGGTAACCACTTGTTTGCTTTTCGCATCACTACGTATATACAGGCGCCGACGAGGACATTGAACCAATTTCCTGAACCGTATTCTTCTTCGGTTATGATCTTTATCATGTTGTTAACCTCATCGGCACGATTTTCTAAATCAAGTTTGTATAATATATCTGAGACGACTTTTTGAGCTAGGTAGATCTTGGTTTCATGATAAGAGTAATCATACCGGGATCCAGAAGTGCCTAATCGGACGTTGGTGCCGATTATTCCGTCGGCGTTGAAGGTTTGTTGTTCATAGTTGTCGAAATCTTGGACGACGCCGCATGAAGAGCATTCAAGATTCCCGGTGACAGTGTCGACATTTAGGTTTTTCGATTTGCAATTCTTGCAAGAACCCATGAAACTGAAGACGGTTAGCAGCGTCGACGCAGCGGGCGTGGGGTTTGTTTTGCCGACCAAGGAGAAGGAGAAAGAGGGTTTAGATTGTTTGATTATTGGGATAAACTAAACAAAAGCCCTTCTATTTAATTTTAATTTTTGGTAAAAATTGGTAATGAATACTTGTTAATTAAAATGTAGTTTTTATTTATTAAATGAATGTTTGGTAAAAACTGTTAGAAATTTATAAAATATATAAAATTATATAAAAAAAATAATTGTTTTAAAAAATTAATATATTAATATATTTTTAAAGGAAATTATAGAAATTAATTTTAAAACCTCAATAGTTTTTTAAAAAAAAATGTTATATAAAATATTTTTAAATTAAATTTTTTTTTTTAAACTAAAAACTAAATATTTTTATTCCTAAATGAAGATCTTTGTTAAAATCTAAAACCAGAAGCTTTAAAATGTTCGCTGTCAAACACCCATAAATTTCCTACCCATCCTATTTTAATTATGTATAGTGTTAGAACACTCATATTTTGGAGAAAAAAATCATCATGATAATGATCTTTTATTGTCGGTTTAGTTAGCAGAGAACATGATAAGATATAGTTTTTTATTCAAGTTACTCAAATTAATATATTTTTTAATTAAGTATAACATATCTTTTGTTAATGATTGTTATAAATGTTTTTCACATTAGACTAAATTTTCAATGTTAACGCATGGGCTGTAAATATATATTTCTGATTATCCTTATCCTCGGTCTTTGTTTCTTCTTCTTCTTTTTTTTTTTTTTCTCATTCCCAACCCTAGCCATGTGTTAGGGATCGGGAAGAAAGAAGGTATGTAACGTACAGTAAAAATCATTTACTTTCCATGTTACACTGCTAGCTAGAGGTGGCAAAATCAGACTATCGTGTCGTGTTTTTGTCTGACACGATATGATATGATAGTTTTATGTAACACAAATTTCACATGATACAATGACGTGTTTTTTTTAACTAGCACGAAAAAAATCAATTAAAAAACGGCAAACACGAAACGAAAGGATAAAGATAACATAAAATATAAATTAGTTTATTTAATTAATATTTAATCATACATAACACGACAAACACGAAAACACGACAAATAAATGTAAAATGGTGTGAATTTCGTGTCGAATTTTAAACACAAAACGATACGACACGATATCATGTTTTTTAAACTTGACACGAATACAAATTCGAGTTTCAGTTTCGTCTCAAATATATTTCGTTTCGTGTATTTCTACCATGTCATGTTATTAATTGTCACGCCTACTACTAACGGGTCGTCACTCATAGAGTCATATAAAGGTGGAGGGTTCCGAATCGGATATGGATAGTGAAGAAACAAAATGGTCATGGTCAAAGAAAAAGGATTATACTCGTATGATATAACTTTAAAACAATTTTACAACTTTTCTCCTTAATCTTTTTTTCTTATCACATTCTACCCATCTTCCAGCCTTTTTTCAATATTGATTTATGAGTTGTCAATTTACACCCTTAAGTTTCATATTTTCATTTTATTGATTTTTTATGTAACTTTTCTATCATTTAGTATTGCTTATGACACCCAACCCGTTTTATTTTAAATTAATTTCCACTTAGACTTCCTTTACTTAATTAGGATAGTAATTAATTAACTTTATATTAAAATTTAGGAAAACTGCAATAAGTCCTTACATATTTGCATCATAATCGATTTAATCCCTATATATATTTTTATTCAATTAAGTCCCAAAAACTGATAATCGTATTCAATTTAGCCATTTTATCGGGTCAACAGGTCACCCAACTTTCAAAAATTATATTTTTGACCAAAAAGTCAAAATTTATTATAAATTTGGTCCAAATTTTACACTTTTGAGCTGTCGATGTGCTCATCTGTATCGGTGGTGTCTTCATATTTTGGGATGTTTGGTATCATCGCCGAGTGTGGAATCTCGTATTGTAAGAGTTCTGGCAGAAACAGGAGATGGTACTCTTTATCGGGTTTTCCATGTGTGGGTATGGAAATCCATCCTACATCATGAATTTTTTAGCGTAATACAGGTTGTTGTATGCCTGATTGTACATTGCCGCGTACAATATGTATGGTTGTTGATGTGAGCTCATTTTCGTGCTTTGCTACAACTGTGAGCTCGATCGCGACTATTGGAGCATGTACAGATTTGGTCCCTACGACTTTTGTGCATGGGGATTGAGCTACTGTGCTGATGACAAGTGAGGATTGGACTCCTATGTCGGTGGCACTTAGGGAATCGATCCCTACAACTGTTGGATGTAGGGATTGAACATTGGGGGTTGTTATGCAAAGAACGGAACGTGCGACTTGTATACTATGGGAGAGAATTGATAGTTTAACATTGGGTGTTGCACGGAGGATAACATGGTTCCTGGGGACCAAGTGTTTTTCCCCGTTTGCTACAACAATGATTACCGATGAGAAGCTGGTGGTTGTGAATACTGAGTTAGTGGTTGTGATTGTTGAGTCACCGTTATCTATGGTTTTGTTGTCTTTGTTGTGACCATATGCTCTATTGTGACATGTGAGGGTTACCATAAGGCAGCTATTGTCGCTGCTACGGTGTTTGATGTGGAGCCTGGTGATTTTGCAGTTGGAGTTTGGGTGGAGGCTTGTCCTTCCTCCATCCGACGCAATAGGTCCTTTTCCTATAATCGATGACGTCTAGTGTCGTATCAAGGTTGTGTAACTCTGAGTACACGCCCAAATGATGCAAAATGTTAAGATATGTGCGAGGGTATTAATGTCGTCTCGTAGTGGTTCCGACTAGTTCGAGCCCTGAAATCACAACAATAAAGAGAAAACGGCAATCGATATCCGGGAGGTGGTCCCGAATGAAACTGTGATGGTCTAGTTAGTATGAGTGTATATGGGAATATGGAGATTAGGGTTTTGGGTAAGAAGAAAATGATCCCTTCCCCTGGAGTAATAGGATGCCCTTTATAAATGTCTTATTCTAAGCATGATCCCAACAATATCCTTTGTCCCGTATGGCTGACAGGATGTGGATGAGTCCCATTGGTGGATCGTGCGCCACTAGTGGTTATCTGCTACTGGTGCATAGGGGACAAAGGATAGTGCTTTAAGCGTTACATTTGTCGCCTTGGGAAATGACAAGCTATGTTTTGGCTTATTATATGTAACGCCCGTAGATCCGGGCTAGTCAATTTAGAGACAATAAGTGTCGAAAATGACTTTTCTACAAAATATTATTTAGAATAAATAATCTTAACCAAGTTGTAGAATATGTCTCAAGGTTTCCATACATATAAAGAACGCCGAAATCCGAGTTATAACGAAGAAGTTATGACCCGTTGAAGTTTCGCGACAGAACCGACACGATACCGGGAAACGTAAATAATGAATTTACGATAGAGCGAGATTTAGCCTTAGCAATCTAAACAAAAGTCGTAGAATGTGTTAAACTAAGAACATCGATAAAAAGAACCCCCAAATCTGACTTCGTATGAAGAAGTTATGATTTTTCGAAGTTTCGGATTAACAGTGTACAACCCGAAATTCGAATATTAGATCGAGTGGTTTTTAGCCGAAACGACCTGAATGAAAATCTAAGATCTTTTTAAGAATAGCATAATGAGAAAAAGATGGGCGAAAACGGACGTCGGATGAAGAAGTTAATTTAACGGACCAATCCTGTCCCGGCATGTTAATAATATAAAATTTAAAATCGAGCCAAAATTAGCCGACGGAGTCTAAACGGAAGTTGTAGATTACATTCCCATCTTCACGTGGATATAAAGAACGTCAAAAACGGAGCTCGTATGCGAAAGTTATGATTTTTAGAAGTCGGAAAGGGATTTTGCGAAATCTGATGCGGGATCGATGAATTCCAGCCATTCGATGATGATCGGGACTTCTTCAGATGATGACACGTTGTCCTTCGCATTACGCCCAGCGTCCGAGCTCGGAACGCCCAACGTACAGCTGTGCTCTGCGAACCCAAATGAGCCACGCACCACCATCCAAAGCGTGATACGTGTTGTACGATGCGAGAGTACGCCCAACGTACCTCGGAATTACGCCCAACGTAACCGAGGTTCCAGGGCTATAAAAGGGTGCGAGGTGTAGCCTTCTTTCCACACCAATTCAAGTCTTCTCTCTTTCTCTACACACTCTCTCTAGCTCCTTAAGCCTTATAAACCCTAGATAAACCTCGTAGCATCCGAGGGAAGCCCCGAGGCTCCCGAAGTCCCGAGAAAAAGAGCCTTTCGGTTTCGAAACGCTGCTCCAAATAAGTTCCAGTTTTCGATAAAATTCGCTGTAAGTGTGCTACCCTTACGCAATTTTTAATATAGCTTTCAAATAATTATAGGAATGTTATTAGGTCCTTAAAATAATTATTTGGGCTATTATTATGAGTTATATTGAGGGTTATTTAACGCTTATATAATGATAATAATAGTCAGACTATTAATTTGTCGCGGTTATCGTTAGACTAAACCCTAGTGGTATTGGTACTAGGTTTTATCGAAGGAAAGTTGTTTTGAGAGTATCGAAGCGCTGTCCGAGTGCTTAGTCACCACCTATCAAGTAAGTGCATAGTCCCTTTCATGAACATGATTTTAATACAAATATTGATTGAAGTATTAATTATATGTTTATGTGCGAGTTAATTGATGTTGCCTGAAATACGTGTTAAAGAACATACCTGATTATATTTGATAATTTAGGATAAAGAGTAGACCTAAATTAAATATGAGGAATATTGGGTAGTATATTCTTACGAGTACAAGTGAGTTATACTCAGAGAATAGAATTTAGTATATGTCATTTATTCGGGAGTATGGGTTAGACATAGTCATTGTCCCTAGTCCGAGAGTATGGATTAGGCATAATCATTCATCATTAATCCGAGAGTATGGATTAGTCATTGTCCCTAGTCTGAGAGTATGGATTAGGCATAATCATTCATCATTAATCCGAGAGTATGGATTAGT